CTTTCGATAAACCGGAAGTGGCCAATTATCTTCTGTTTTACATGCAAAAGTATATAGAAACTATATATTTTTGGAATCAGTGTAAACGAAGCTATCAAATGAGACAGGAAGTGACGTTTTATTCACCGGAAGTAGCACATTATCCCCCTTATTTCACTCAAAAGTATATAGAAACAATTCATTTATCGCATCAGTTTGAAGAAACTTATGATTGGATACCAATTTTAACTTTGAGTAAACCGGAACTTGCTTCTTTTCAATAACTTTGAAAATTTATGTGGAAAGACCTTCAATTGTTATCTGAACAATTGGTTTTTAATTAGGTCTTTCCACTTTTCTGTGGAAAGACCTATTGGTTTTTTTCTGATTATCTTTTTTTTTTCTTCCGCCTAATTTTGTTCTTGCGATAAATATTTGTTTTGCAATATGTCGCTTAGATATTTGGTATATGATATCGAACAGTTTATGCGCCTTTGAAATTTACCCTGCGTAACCAAATAATTTTCTTTGTAGGAGTTATCTCCCCGAACACTGTTTTCCTTGTGCACGCATCCCCTCCATAACCGTAAAAGAAAGCAACAAATTTATTTTACAAAATTGCTCGTTATATCCTCAGGATGTTTTGTCCAATTTTGAACGAAGCGATACATAAACTCCATATGAGAATTATTCCCCTTCTGTATTTGACATAAGTGATATATAAATGTATAGCATGAATGGTAAGTGATAGAGACCTAAGGTATATTGATTTGAGTTCCTTGGTTCATTTAAATGAAATTGAGGCCAAGGTCAAAGGTCAAGGTCATATTCTAAATTTTGACTTTTCCTTGTTATTTGATCTCCTCTGTCACTTTTAAAATTACAAATTAAAGAACTAGTGCAAAATGTTTGCTTAATTGTAATTAAGATATGATACATTTGGTCTGAAATAATCCAATGATATCTTATAGGAGTTATTGTCCCTGAAATGATTCAATTTAAGGTTAATTGATTATTACTTTAACTTGGTACATGATAAGGCCATAGGGTCTTTTGCAAACTGTTGGTTGACATATGACCTTGAAAAAAGTAAACCGGAAGTGACCTTGAGTGAACCGGAAGTAGTCATTTTTGCGCTTATTTCATGTAAAAGTACATAGAAACCATATATTTTTTAATGGTCATACATTAATCTATCATTTGAGACCGGAAGTGACATTTCATCAACCGGAAGTAGCATATTATCTCTCTTATTACAGGCATAAGTATATATAAACTATATATTTTTGGAATCAGTGTAAATAAATCTATCATATGAGATCGGAAGTGACATTTTCTAAACCGGAAGTAGCCAATTATCTCCCTTTTTACAGGCAAAAGTATATATAAACCATATATTTTTGGAATCAGTGTAAATAAAGCTATCATATGAGACCGGAAGTGACATTTTCTAAACCGGAAGTTGACAATTATCTCCCTTATTTCAGGCAAAAGTCTATAGAAACCATATGTTTATTGAATCAGTATGAAGAAACCTATGATTGGACGCCAATAGTAGCTTTGAGTAAACCAGAATTAGCTTCTCATCAATTATTTAGAAAATTGATGTGGAAAGACCTTCAATTGTTCTTTGAACAATTGGTTTTTAATTATTTTTACTTTTTTTCCGCCAAATTTTGTTCTTGCGATAAATGTTTGTTTCGCAATATGTTGCTTAGATATTTCTCATATTGTATCGTATAGTTTATGCGCTTTTAAATTTCACCCTGCTAAGCCGAACCATTTTCTTTGCAAGAGTTATCTCCCTATTCACTGTTTATCATCTGTGTGCATCTCCTTCGAAACAAAAAAAGATATCGACAAAATTCTTTTTTTAAATTGTTTGTTACATCCTCAGGAATTTTTGCCTAATTGGATCGAAGCGATCCAGTGAGATCTTAAAGGAGTTATCTGCCTTTACCTAATTAATTTGTCGTTATGTTTTTGTAACACGTAAACCGTAAGCCGTATAAAAAAAATTTGACCAAAATGTTAGTCGCGACATGATATAACTGGAAAGTTTTTGTCAAAATGGTACACGTCATATTTTTAAGGGTTCCATGCCACTGAAATAGTAAAATGAACAAAATGAACTAATTATAGCCTCAAACTTTGCAGCTATCATGATGTATACATGCATCTTATCTTAATTTATCAACCAAGGTCCACTATCCTCCACTTTCCCCCCCCCCCTTTTTTTTTTGAGGAATCCCATTTCGCCTTGAAGTTGAGTCCTGTACATTTTACTGTAAAAAATGCAATCCTTCTGATGTACAAACTTCTTAAATAGAAATTCATTCCTGCAAAGATCGGCTCCAATTCATGTTCCCGTTAGACGCGGTCCGCTTTGATTGAGAAATAAAATTCAATGACGTAGAAAAATCGTAAATATTGCTGAAATCCTACAATCAAATTTTTTAATCATGCATTAAAATACAAATCTGTGCTCCCGTAAACATGTGTACGTAAGATGCATGCATGATCCGTCATCAATGACCTGTAAATAATAAAACCAATAGTGATCATGTTTGTCCGATCAGTACACATGTGCTCTGTTCAATGGTCTCCCCTGAAAAGAAATTAATATTCCAGACATATATATTCGAGGGTCACGTGACTTCACAACACCATCTTGCGCGCGGACCTAAATTTAGAATAAAACATTCCATATCCAAATAAGGAAAATAAAACTTCCAAGATAAAATTTACTCCGTTTTCCTAGAAATTCAATCAAAATGCATACAAAACAAATAGATGAAAAATGGAAGTCCGAGGTAACATAGAAACTAGAGAAAATGTATAAACGAATGATGCTAGGATCAATTTTTATGAGGACATCTCAGGCGTCCGTTTGGCTGTGCGAGATGTATAAGTACGCAGTCACGTTCGGTCAGAATATAGGCGTTATTTAAGTTAGCTGCGTCGCACAGAGAAAGTGCCATGCAATCAATCAATTAATCAATTAATCAATCAATCAATCAATCGACCGACCGACCAACCAACCAACCAACCAAAAAACCAATTAATCATGTTTCGGAGGGGAAAGACCGTTTAACAATTGTTTTTAAAACAATTGATTTTTATTTTTAATTGATATTATAATGTTCATATAGAATACTACTTTAATTTATGATCTAAGATATAAGATATGAGGTGGCAATAGTCCCTTGATTCATTTCAATTGTTCTGAGAACTTCTTTGTCATTTGGTAGAATGTTCATTTCAACAAAACTTTGACAGTTTACCAATAGTTCTGTTACAGCCACTTTGTTATTGAAACAGTTAGTCCACACTTTACTTCCAATTTTACTAATCACATATTCTTTAATTTGTTGAAAATGAGATTTCCGAATGTTTCTTTATGCTGGGCAGATTGTTGGAAGGTGTTGAAGGTCTTCGTATTCAAGTTTACATACAGGTCAAGTAGGGTCTACCTCTGCTTGGTTGAACTTGTCTTTTAAGGTTTGAAGCATATTATGTTCCAGTTAGCATGCGTACTTTTGTTGTAGCTTTTCTGACAACTTTACGGAGTCAGGTTAATTATTTTCATATAACCATATATTGCCTGTTTGTGTGAGCTTGCTGTTTATGTTTTCTTTCAGCCAGTCGTACCGATTTAAGATAGTATTACCACTAATACACCAACATTGCCAATTCACTGATAAAATCCCTATTTATTTTGGGCTTTTTTAAATAAATGTTATTGTAAAAGACATACCGACTTCGAATGTACAACTAAAACACAATATCAATCGGGATAAACAGTAAAATCTTTCAAATCTTCGGTCCTATTCAGATTCACATCTCTACTCTTCAATCACTCATCCACGTCCCAACCAACGAATTAATTAATTGTCCTTTGTTTAAACACTTCATGTGCAGGTGTGTCTAGAGGTGCGATTCGGACGCAAGCAATTTTTACAGCGTTTCATTTTGTTTACCCTTGTATTTATATTTTACTTAATATGTACTTTATCCCGATAGTGTATACTGTATGCACTATCAACTTCAAAAACGTGTTTGTTGGCATCTTTGTCAATTTCACTATCAACTACAGCAACATTTTTTTGTTGGCGTCTTTGTTAAGAGTTATTTGTATGTTTGTTTTATTTATTTAGTAAATTGTGTTGTATTGCTGTGATGTATGCTTACACAGTTTTTGGCTGCTGGATCTCAATAATTGTCACGTTCCCCTTTTACGTATATTGTATGTTTTGGATGCTCACCAAATTTTTGTCAATATACCGGAACTATCAACAACTTCCATACAAGTGGCAGTTTAAGATAGCTATAACATCAGGAATAACCCAACATCTTCTTCAGAAATTGTTTGTACCTAGTCATGAATATGACAAGTTTTTTTGTCATGCGTTATGTTGCTTGATAAAGTCTACTGTTTGATTTTGTCAGTTTTTATGGACGCCCCTTTTTTAATTAACCTTGGAGTCATGTAATTTTGTTACCAGTATACTTGTTTTCCTGTAAATACACACTGGAACTGGTTGTTTAGTGATGCGTTGGATGTATTGTCCTCTTTCATTTGTCCAATCTATATTCAGTGTTGATACAACGCTGTTCTTGAGATTTCTTGAGCTGACATATTTTCAAAATTGTTTTGTGATTCCTTGCGTAGTTTACTCGATATTTCTCTTTTTTCTCAATTTCTAATAAGCGTTTTGGATTCTAGGATGGGAGAACAGAATGAATTTTTATCTGTTGTGTATGCTTTTTTTTCATCCTGTTTTGTGCAAAGTTATTTATTTTCAGTTCTTATCAGGCCAAGTTATTTATTATGAAAATCATCATGCCACCCCACCTTCCACACCACGCTCAGAAAACCTAATGATCGTTCCCTTAGACGAAATGACATTTTAAAAAAAGCAAAATTCACCCGCTACTTCGTGGGGTTTGGTTTAAAATGTATTACCTTTATGTGAAAAGAGTTACTCATTTGGAATGCATCAATATTCAATAAGGCTCTCTTCATACAATGTTAACTTTAATAACAACACATAATCAATATATCAATACACAATGTTAAATAATATATATACACGACTATACATGACAAAAACAATGGCAAACTAATAGGTTGAAAGTTTATATATATTAAACATTCTCACTGTTAAAAATATTATGACTTGCATATTTAAATGCAGAAACATTTTTTTGTTGTTGTTTTTTTTTTACCTCACAGAATAGGGAATTCCACACTTTTGTACCACTTTTTTGTAGAAGTCTGTATTTGGCTTAAGAACAATGAAATAAATGAATAATTTGATTATACAAATTCTAGTTTTTATGAAACTTTGCAGTTTGTAGGCAAAATAATATTTGACAAGTATGTCAGTACTAGTTTTTTTTTAATTTGTGCGTTAATAATGACTTGTTGTGCAGGAATAACTCCAGATTTCTGAAATAATTGAATACATAGATGGTTTTCTAATAGCATATTCGTTTAAAATAGTTCTAGCTGCCATTTTTGCAATTTAGTAAACAGTTACTTAAAATTTTGCTATAGTTTCCACATATTGAACAACTGTAAATTAAATGTAGAAGAATATAATAATGCATTGCACAATGAAATGTCGGATTATGGTTAAACAAAAATTATTGAACTTCGAGGAAAATTCAAAACGGAAAGTCCCTAATCAAATGGCAAAATCAAAAGCTCAAACACATCAGACGAATGAAAAACAACTGTCATATTCCTGACTTTTGGTTCTTTTCCAAACGTCAATGAAGAAATCAACTACTTTTTTGATACCGTAATAAAAACGATCAGACCAAGACCACGAACCAAATTCAAAATATTATCTTTCGTTGAGGACTTCGGACATGTAATAGGCAATACTTTATCTTGTGCTCGTTTGTTGTTTGTTATTTGTAACTAAAAAAAATCTCTCTTATATTTTTACAAGCGGAATTCAAAGAGCGCATTCGAAGATATTTGTAGATAAAATTTTCTATGTACAATTACATTTCCTCAACTACATCTGTCCCGAGGTTTTGGATCCTTTCATAGCTGTTAGAATACTAATGGCAATCGAAACCATTCTATGTATCCCATTCTCCTTTCCGCTTTGTTTTACTGACTCGTTCAGGTGGCAACAGTCAATATCTTGATCAGAAGTACTTTAAAGGTACATGTGATCGTTCACTATATCAGTTTGTTCTTTCACTAAAGTTTCGTACACATTAACTGACGCACACTCGTCATAAACGTGTGTTCTGTCGTCCAAGTTTTCTTCACAAGAAATTTGGTCGTATGTCTTGGGAATACATTCGTCGTAATTGTGGGAGCTGGTCTGCCAATTTCCAGATAATGGTTGGTAAGGACTGGACGTATCAATAGTTATAAGTAAATGTGCATTATGTGAAGTGTGCTCAATAATTTCAGGCAAATCCACTGAACTTTGGGTAACTGTTCGGTTAAAAACATTTCCCGAATGCTCATTGTTTGAAAGCCTTTCAAATGTAGTTGGATTACGTTGAGAACGCGGGCTGCTTTCGGTGCTTTCGTAATTGTTTTCATTTGAGTTTCTTCCGTTTGGAGATTCCCTATCTACATCTATTCGTGAATTCGAATGCTTTATTTTGATAGCATCTACATATCTGCTTTGTGCTTGGAAAATTACAAATGCTACAATCCCAACGAAAATGATTATTCCAGAGGTAGTAGCAGCAATTATGTATATTTGTAGACTAGCAAAACCTATAAAGAATAGCAAAATATTATTTGTTTATATTTCGTAAAGCGTAAGGTGAAAGCCTTTAACTCTTCCGATTATAGATACTACAAATAAGTTCTAAGAAATCATGAAAATGGCTCATTGTTGTTTGCATAATGTATAGTGGCAAATATGTCATGTATATTCAGAACGAGTATGGAATGTACTTGCTTTTTATATTGTCGCTATAAAATATGTAACCGAATATTTCGCACAAATCCAATCTATATATTTTCATATCTTCTTTATAATATACTCTATTCTTCTCATTTTCAAAATTGTCCTGAAAGAGCTTGACATAGTCTTCTCATTATTTATACAATTCGAATGAAACATAATTAATCCATGATTCCCCTTAACTGTATGATATTTAGTTGGTCAAGAAGACATTGTAATATAAAGAATTTTCTTTGATATAATATGCAAATGTCAATAGAAGTATTGCTTTTATTCGGGATTCTTGGATGAAGCTGTAAAAGTCTGTTTTAGATATATATACATGGGAACATTAGTTTTTTGATTTTTTTTAGTCCATAAATGATGTAGATGTGTTAACATGACTATGATTGCAATCTGATTAAAAACAACCCACGTTTTAATGCCTTGTAAACGAAGCGAGAGCACACGATCTGCGTTTTTATCTGAGTGACAAAGGTTACATATTCATTAGCTTAGAAGACATTTAATGTTTATACACTGTATTTGACTTTTAAAACTTTTAGTCTCCTGCGTTCTCATTAAATGTTATTCCAGGAACACGTGTCAGGAGCACAGAATCGGTATCATACATAACATTTTCTACATTTCAGTATATTATAAACTTTGAAATAGTCAGTACCCGTAGACGTTTCATCACTGATCATTATATCTGATACCACATCTACATTTACAGTCCTCTCAGATGACACTTTCATCGGCTTCTCCTCGCCACTGTTGGTTGTTTCTGTTTTGATTAGTTCAGTGGTCCATTTGTATTCTGAAAATGTTGTAGGTTAAATGAATTAAATGAAATGATATATCTTTGCAAATTAGTATGCATATCGACATAAAAAAGTTAACGCATTAGAATAAATGATATGGTTGGTGTCAATTTACTTTATACTTTTCAGAAACATATATTATCATTTAATAGGAAGTGTTGAGGACTAAACATTTATTAAAAAAAAACACTTTACTTTGACTATCTGAAAATCTGATATATGTAATACGAAGCATACATTAAAAAAAGAAGTTGATATGACTGTCTGGTTTATACAATCAATACATTAACCATGTTAACTGAGAATGATAACCACCATGCAGACATTCTGTATCATAAATTATAAATTAGCATTTTTTTCCGAAGTTAAATATGTTACCTGTCTCAAATCAGGAGCCTGAATTTCAGTAGTTGTCGTTTTTTGCTGTATATATTATATTTGTTTTTCGTTTTTTTTTTTGTTGCTTTGTACATAGATCGTTAGTTTTCTCGTTTGAATTGTTTTATTTTACATTTGTCATTTCGGGACTTTTAATAGCTGACTCTGAGGTATAGGTTTTGGTCATTGTTGAAGGCCGTGCGATGACCTATAGTTGTTAATTTCTACGCTATTTTGTCTCTGGTGGACAGTTGTCTCATTGGCAATCATATCACATCTTGTTATTCTTATATATATATATATATATATATATATATATATATATATATATATATAGAAATTTCAAGGTGAACCACTGAAGGTAAGTCACTAATATTAGGTACTATGCAGTCGTATTACCATCATTCAGTACATCTGACTTGAAAGATTATTAAGTCAAGCCCCTCATCTATGTCCACTGAATTTTATAAATAGTTCCTATGTCAAAGAGTGTGCTCTTTATATGTTTCGGAGTGACGTCTATTTTCCCTGAGATAGTATTTGTTTAGGGGCAATCTGAAGTCCGCCTCCGGGTGCGGGATTTTCTCACTGTGTTGAATACCCATTGGTTGCCTTGGACTGTTTTCTGCTCTTTGGTCGGGTTGTTGTTGTCTCTTTGACACATTCCCCATTTTAATTCTCAATTGTATGCTTGGATAGTTTAACGTACTAAAATTTGCACTTCTCATTTTCATGGAGATTATTTGGCCTCGCCCGCTAAGTCATTATATCTTGACTTTGATGTTTACGGCATATTTAACATGTCAAAGTTTTTAACTTGTTACTTGTATTGGGCCAGTCAGTTTAAAGGGAACCACGTATGGTTAGTGAAAGATATGTGGTATGCAGTTGCATTAGCATAGACACATCTCATGTCCACGATGACGATTCAGCCGCGCATGTTGTATCGACACGGTCAAATTATCCCCGAAAGGTTTTAGCTTAAATGCTAAGCAGAATTACAAAACCAACCTGAACGACTCGCGGCTGATATATTCAAGTATAGAAGTCGTAATAATCTATTCATTTATACGTCCGTACATTTGTCTTTTACTTCTTATGAATTGTTTCGTTGCGTATTTACCCTCTGAATTTAAGCTCTGATTTCCCTGTTTACGTATATTTGTATGTATTTCTACCTGATAAATTTATATGTACCTTTTACAGCCAACCTGACGTAGTTATACAAGGTTTCATTAACCGTGTCAACAGTACAACAATATAACCCCGCATCTTGGAAACTACTGTTTGAAATTTCTAAATCATATTTTTCTCCACCTTCTTCGCCTATAATTCGAAGTCTTTCATGGAATGGTAATTTATTATTTATTCTCCAGCCATCTGTATATGTTATGCCTATTCCTGTAGATGTATCCCTGTTTCCATTCAGATTAAGCCATTGAATTATTCTGTTTCCCAGTATATTCCGGCATGGTAGGTAAACAGAATCGCCAACTATACATCTGATTTCAGGATATTGATCAGAAAATACTGCTGAAAAAAGAAAGCAACGGATGCTTATAAAAAGCCACATATACACTAAATGTACATTTTTATATATATATATATATATATATATATTCTAGGCACTTTATATAAATATATATATTATATAAACAAGTCTAAATTGAAAACAACGTTCTAATCTATTATATATATATACATTATACTAATGTAGTAGCCATGTAAATATGATACAATATTGTACAATGTTGTACATTCATTTATAGAATATCAATCTAAACTTAACTAGTCTTCCTGTGATCTTTCTATTTAAATACCTTTAACCAAACATGCATATAATGAGATAAAAACGAAGACATCCATTCAATCCAATGTCCATTAGTGTATATAATGATTACTTATTGTTATATTTTGAATACATTGGAAATTAAGGAAACAATGTTATTCATAGCTATGTATTTCCCGTTTCCGTAATCAATTGAACTTGGGGAAAAAAACGAAAGCAAAACAATGAATGATGATTGTTATTGAATACATTGTACTTCCGTCGTTGTCACGTATTTTAAAATTAATAGTATTTTTAGTATGTTTTGGTAAGAGGAAATATTGATGAAAATCTAGCAAAATTGATGGTTTCGATTGTATTTCCGTTTAGTTAATTTAACACATACACTGTATAGAGATATTGTCTTTGGTATGGCAATAAATGATATTTAATTGAATGCAGATACAGTTTTGATTTTTAAATTTCACTGGTTATTGAATTCAACACTTTTGGACCACTGAAAGAAAAACTTGATTTGTATAATTCTGTATTTGATAAAAGGAACAATAAAATTATTTGATGATGAAAGTCGAGTATTGTATGATTGTTTACTATTTGTAGGCACAATGAGATTTGGTATATATTTTGGTGCCAGTTTGTGTTTTGATTTATGCATTATTAATGACATGTAGGAAATAATGTTTAATTATTCATTTTACTGTGCGTATTGCTGTGTGTTTGTTTATTCTACATTGGTTAGAGGTATAGGAGGAGGGTTGAGATCGCACAAAACATGTTTAACCCCACCGCATTTTTACGCCTGTCCCAAGTCAGGAAATTCCGGCCTCTGTTAGTCTTTATGGTTTTTTTTTTAAATTTCGGTTCATTTATATGTTTCGGAGTTTAGTGTAACGTCTATTTTCTCTGTACACATTTTTGTTTATGTACCAGCTGAGGCACGCATGCGGATGCGGGATTTTCTCGCTGTACGTGTTAAAGACCCATAGGTGGCCTTGGATTTTTTTCTGCTCTTTGGTCGGGTTGTTCACACATTGCCCGTTTCCAATCGTAATTTTATTTTTTACAGAGCCGCGTGTAGACAGTAGCGTGCCTCTTCGTGCTTAAGGTTTATGCTCTGATAATATACAAGATAGTTGAGTATGTGTCCGAGCGAGAACTTTTCAATGGTCATTACTTTAGGAATATTTATCTTAAACTCATATTTCACTGTTCATTCCCATTCTTCTTTTAAGTCAGACGTCAGGCGCTACTCTGATATACCCTGTCTTTTGTTTTTGTACTCTGGTTTTTTAGTTTATACATTTTGTCGGTACTTTCTGACGGATAGCGGTTTTACCGGATTCAATTCCTGTGTGTTGGTTAATATTCTAGACGCCAGTCTTTGCTCCTTTCAATTACAAATACGGATAACAAAATGAAATTCAGATTATGGAAACATACTAAATACCAAATTCGTTCCAAGGTTATCTACACGTCTCAATCTTCAAAATCGCTTACATCCCGTCATTGTGTTATTGTTCTATGGTAAAAATTTTGAATTCTTGTCTTTCATTTTTGCTAATGTGCTTTGTCTATATGCCTTTTTGTGTTTCTTTTTTTTACATATTTGTTTGTTTTTAAGTGATTAAGATTATAACACAATGTTGACTGCTGTACCCTTATTTTTGACATGTTTACCTATTATGTCTGTTTGTTTTGTTCACACACCGTTGTCAATATAATGGAATTTTATGCGACTGTCATACAAGTGAGAGATTTAGCTAGCTACAAAACTAGGTTTAATCCACCATTTTCTACATAAGAAAATGCCTGTACCAAGTCAGGAGTATGACAGTTGTTATCCATTCGTTTGATGTGTTTGAGCTTTTGATTTTGCCATTTGATTCGGGACTTTCCGTTTTGAATTTTCCTCGGAGTTTGGTATTTTTGTTATAATTTTAATTTTTATTCAAATATACTACAATCGCTAACATATTTAATTAAGATATAATGCAAGGGGGCTTGAATTTATTGTGATTTTATTATTGAGGGGTTTAAATACCCCATAAATTTGAAAGTATCATACATAAACACTTCAAGAAGCACAATCATATATTTAACAGTTCAACCTTTAGAAATAGTAAATAAGCAGTCGGGGGAATCTCATTCAAAAATTGTACGATCACGGAAAATAGTTGAATTAAATTGGATAAAAACATTATAGACAGTCTATCCTATCAGTCTAAATGATAATATTTAAAATATAATTCTAAAACTGTTTGGATATAGTTTCTGAAACTGTTTTGAAAAAAAACGTCCCCATGGGCGTTGAATAAATCGCAATCAGAGAAAATTCGTACCAACAATACAAATATTTCGGACCTAACTTCTGTTTGAAAAACAACGGCAGGCATCATCTATTAACCAATCTCTGTTCTTTACCTTAATAGATCTATTCCTCGTATCAAACATAACCTAAAAGTACTCGCCAAAGAATTTGTTTTTGTCCCGACTTTTAAGGGTGCCAATAATATGATTATTATTTTACGTACATATTACGTTGAGGTTCTGCAAAAATAATTCAACAATTCACCATCATTATAACTGACTCCCATTTTCGGAAACAGACATAAACTTTTAGCTACTTCTTTATAGGCAACACCGAATAACATGAAAGTTCAAACTATGTACTATCTTCCGAAGCTGCACAAAACACCTTACAAATATAGATTTATTTCGTCTTAAAGTCATTGTTCCCCTACACTACAAACCAGTAAAAGTCTGAGATGGCCTATATCTGTACTCGACTGTACTGATTTTTACTCGACCAGTCTGAACTGGTCTGAAATTTACTTGATAATACTCGACTGTAGTCTAAACCATACTTAACAGTTTGAACTTGTACTCGACCAGTACTTAACCATTTTATACGCGTCTGAACCGTGCTCGACCTAGTCTGGAACCGTGCTCGACCTAGTCTGAACCATGCTCGACCTAGTCTGAACCATACTCGACCTAGTCTGAACCATACTCGACCAAGTCTTAACCAACCTAGACCTATTTTTTGTATCTATCTATTGTATTTCATCAATTTAGGAACTGTTTTTAACAACAGCTATTTCCCCTGGCTAGAAATTTGAACAACAATTTGAAATTAAAAATGTATTCAATATAGCATTAAAACCAAAATTTCACAATGAACATAATATAACTTCATCACCATATTCATCAACACTTATATACATACATATATATCACCTTTAAAATTAAAATAAAACAAGCTGATCAAATAATCTCAAAACTGAATTGTGACTAATATTTTCAATGTTATTCAAAATTTTTTGAATGTTTCAGATATATTTTATGGTTACTACTGGACAATTTTCACCATTAACTTAAGCCTCGTATAGATTTATGGTGTCAGTCGAGTTAAGTTAATAATGCAGTGAACATTTTTTTTTATTAAAATATATATAAAATAGCATATAAAGTAACTTAATAAATTTTAAAAATGACACTTTTGTTTTGTTAAACCAAGAATTTAATATAATCATGATAATAGAACTTCCATAGTAATTATTCCTGTGATAACTATTAAAAAAGGAAATGTGTTCCAAAGTTACAGTAAAAATTTATTTCAATTAAATTTATATAATTTTTGTCAAAATTAAAGACATGGCATACAAGAAGCACTTTGATAAGGTTTAATTGCCTCAGTACATGTGTGTTTTACAGGTAAAAAGAAAGCCCTATTTTTCTTAAACTCGTGTATTACTTATCTAGTGAATTAAAAAAAGGCCTTGCGATTTAAGTTTCACAAGATGTTGCAAATTTGAATGAATGTTAATCATGTTAATTAGAATTTAATACTCTCTGACCATGTTGTGATCTTTTTAATGAGTTTGCCCCAAGCAGGAGGTATTACTTTATACTTCACCACTAATCAGAAGAAAAATTTTATTAATTTCTTTAATTTTTATCCCTTTTTGATATATATTGTATATAATATATCCCAAATTATAATAATAGATGTATTTCTAAAATAAGGTTAAACAATTTCAGTGATTTTGTTGGCTGTTGTTACCTCATTAAAAAGATAATTATATAACTATTGTACATTTTTTATATGTAACCATGAAACCTATGTAGTTTTTATTTAGGAATTAAGGAAAATTAATTTAAAAAAAAACACATGCCAAACAAGAAGCACCTTAATAAGGTTTAATTACCCTCAGTATAGGTGTGGTTTTTAGGTAAAAGAAAATCTTTTTTTAACAAAACTCTAAAATTTTAAAATGAATATAATTAAATTATTATATAAGATAATTTGATTTAACTATCTCTATTCCATAAATCTGAGAATCATGTAAGAATGTAAAAATCTGTTTTTATAATATATCTTTATTTTATTGTGTCTGTTGTCATGTCAGTTAAAAAGAAATTTATTTTAACAGTTTGGTCCAGTATGGTTCAGACTGGTCGAGTATTGTTCAGACCTTTGGTCGAGTATGGTTTAGACTGAAAAAAAAAAGTTCGAGTACAGGTCGAGAATGGGTTAAGACTGTTTCAGACTGGTCGAGTAATAGTTCAGACTATTTTCAATGGCAAAGATAAGGGTCAAGTACAAATCAGTACAGTCGAGTATGGTTAAGACTGGGGTCGAGTACTGTCGAGTAAAATTCAGACCAATTCAGACTGGTCGAGTAAAAATCAGTACAGTCGAGTACAGATATAGGCCATTTCAGACTTTTACTGGTTTGTAGTGCTACTAAATTATCGGAATTCCAATAGGGACTAACTGTGCACCACTTATTGCGGACCTGTTTCTGTATTGTTATGAGTTACAATTTATGACTAAAATAAATAAAGACCCATCGAAACAACATCTGTTACAAAAATTTAATAACACTTTTAAATATTTGGATGATATATTGGCTCTCAATAATGACGACCTCAGTATGTATACTATATATATATATATATATATATAAAGAGATTTATCCGGCTGAACTGACTTTAAATAAAACTAATACTAACAATGAACACTGCCCTTTTCTGGATCTTGATATATATGTATCTTTAACAAGAAGCTTAATACCAAAACTAAT